TGAAACTTTTAAGTATAAGGGTTTTTTTAACACTAATCTATTGCATGTGTATATGGTTTGACTAAATCATTGTTGTACTACAACCTTCAAAATAATTAATTACTAGAATTCATGACATAAAGGCATTGAAGTATTTAGTGGGGTGGTCTCCAAGTCAAGCAAAATTATTCACAAGGTAGCTAAGTTTCAAATCCAACTAACTCCCGTCCTAAAAGGAAGGGAGAAGGAAAGAAAAGATGAAGATGAAAAGAAAAAACCATTTTTCTGGTGGATTGTTATGATCATGTCAATTATCATTTATCCAAACCTCTTTTTCCATGTGTACATTTTAAGTTTTTGACCATATAATTGTAGATTCGTATGGAAACTCATTTGGGATTAAGGACTCCATTCCTGCTGGATCATGTTCTTTGTTCAATCAACAGATGGAATCCCATACAATGGAAGAAACTATGATCCGCCAAAAGAGGTATAGTTGGTGGCTATTTGCTCTTTTGGTTTTGTTGAAAAGATTAGATAACTTATTCTTTTCAATATATAGCAGTTGAAATATTTGGAGCTTGGGAAAAATAAAAAATACCAACTATGTTTATGATAATTTTAAAATCACTGCATGTGTGTGAAGATACATAGACAAAAGCATGCATGCATGCCTACACACAAATATGATTAATTAATTATATAAACAAATAATGAATTTCTTATTCATCTTAGAGTAGGTGTTTTGATGAATGTCTTCCTTTATAACGTTAATATTAAGATCAATGCCCTTAAAGGTTTTTAAGAAAACAATTTTGATTGGTTTTTTTCATATGTGAAGTCAGTTTCTAAATTGTGTGTTCTCGCTTGTTCAAGTTTAATCACTGCGCAGCACAGTCAACTTAGTTTAGTCTGTAATGTGTCTTATCTCAAATTTTTGTACTCTTTAACCTGACTAATGATTTTTATATTGTAATAGGAAAAGTATGTATTCAAACACCGCTAGCTAAAAAGACCAAAATCACTTAAGTCTATGAATCACATGTTGGAATGAGTAGCATGGTATGCATCTTCCTTTCCCTTGCATGTAGCAAATTGTTATTCAACTCTTCTTTCTCTGCACTGAATTGTATTTCCTTGATTTATTTAATCTTAAAAGAGAAAACCTTAAGTTTGATAAAAAGCTTCATTAAATGCTATCATGTGTGGGATCATGTTTTTGCTATTTCTTTCAACCCTTCCTATGAAGTGTTCTTGCAAGGTTTTGAGATTGAAAAGTAAAGCAGGAGGTTTTATAAGACAATACATTTTATAGTAAAACTTATCTTAGTATTTGTATTTAAACTATCAATTTTCCCCCCCCCCCCCCAAAAAAAAAAGGAAGATAAAGAGATATTTTGACTTTAAGCTAGCAAAAAGCCACGTAGGTGTATATGGCCTACTTTTCGTGTTCTTTGGTTAAAGGAAGTCCTTCCATTTGGATTATACTAAATAATGAGTATTACTTTAGTTAATGATAGTGCAAATGCCAAACAGCTAGTGACTTGGATCTCTATTAACTGTTTGTGTATAGAAATATCTTAAATAGCAGTTTCAAATCAATAACATAGAAGTTGGTTTGATTGCATTTTACTATGATTCTTCACCCATTTCTAAAACCCATTAAGAAGCCTAAATTTGCAATTAAACCGAAATTTATCTCTAGTTTTCTTCATATTGTCATTCAAAGAAAATTTGTCCCACAAACACTTTCAGTCATTATCTTCCATGGTACACATTGGTATGGTTAATCCATTTCCTAGTTTTCTTAATATTATCAACTCTGAGATTCAGGAGCCAAGAATTAACACATACGCCAACTTTAGAGATGATGTGCTTCCCACTCATTAAAAGACTTGGATATAATGCTGTTCAAATCATGGCTGTTCAAGAGCACTCATATTATGTTAGATTTGGGTATTATCTCCATCAAAATATCAGCTCATCTTTATTTGTTGCTGTTTATGTTTGTTAACTTGTACTAAAATGTTATGTTTTGGATGTAAACAGAAATATTTCTTCAGAATTTAGTTTTGGTTTAACAAGTTGCATTTAATATGTTACAGGTATCATGTGACAAACTTCTTTGCACCAAGCAGCCATTTTGGAACCTCTGATGATCTTAAGTCACTGATAGATAGGGCTCATAAGATGGGTCTACTTGTTCTTATGGATATTGTGCACAGGTAATAATTAGACTTGCAAGAGAATATCATTTCTAGAAACACATCCTTCAGCTTTATTTGTTGTTACAGTTTTTGTGCAAACGGTTTTTCCCAGCTTTTTCATACCAAAAATGAAAATATAAACTCTTTTTCTTCTTCTTTTCTTGTTTAGACTGTATGGTCATTCTTCCAGTAGATTTGATGCAAATATGGCCATGAGAATTTAGGCTGTTATGGGTCCTTACTCTTAGTATGTTTTTTCTGGTTGCTTTTGGCTTCCTAAAAGGTTTCTAAAGAACAAACCTAAAAAGGAGAAAGCAAAGTCATAGTTGTTTGAAAATATATATGATTAAATGCAATAGAATTTGTACTATAATTATTCTATTAAAAGAGGAATCATAGTATTTTGTTCTACAAGAGATTATATTTTTATTTTTAATTCTTTTAAAGTGTTATTGTCTTTTCTACCCAAATGTACTTTCTGCTTCTAGAAACAAAAAGCTAGTAGCAAAAACAACTACCAAATGGAATCTTACTGTATTGTTTACAATGAAAGTTTTTATCTTTTGCATGTTGTTAATGTTAAATTCCTTTCTAAGCTATAGCAAATTTTTATTCAAGTATTTGCTTTGTTGCTTTGAGTAAGTAATCTTTTGCTATAAAGTTTCAGTTAATTTTTATTCTTTAGTTAAATTAAGTTATTAATTAATTTTGTCGTCCACCTTTGTATCTGACTGATGTTTGACGAATACAGCCATGCATCTAATAATATGTTAGATGGATTGAACATGTTTGATGGAACCGATGCTCATTACTTCCACTCAAGGTCAAAGGGTCACCGCTGGATGTGGGATTCTCGCCTTTTTAATTATGGAAGCTGGGAAGTATGTACTTCTACTGAAACTTATCTTAAACAATAGCTTGTTGAAAGATTTTGGCTTCCATCCTATTGTGTGTAAATATTAATTTTTACTTGTTGCTTTAGGTACACAGGTTTCTTCTTTCAAATGCAAGATGGTGGCTGGAAGAATACAAGTTTGATAGGTTCAGATTTGATGTTGTGACTTCAATGATGTACACCCATCATGGGTTGCAGGTAATATCTGAGTGAGTTTGCAGATTTTCTATTTTGCTTAGTGTTATATAATAAGTTACTCGCATGTTCAGATGTTAATTATCAAAGTTTTGATTTTATTTTATATAGAGAAGTAGAACTGATGTAACATTTGGTTCTTGTAAGTGGTGAAGCATCATTTCTCTATGTTTGTTTTTTAACTAAATTCTCTTGAGGACTAAAGGTTTTTAGTGTCATTGCATCTTTATAATGTATTATCCCAGCTTAACCTTTGTTTTCTTGAACTTGCTGTGGGTAGCATTTCCTGGAAACTACAATGAGTACTTCAGATATACAATTGATGTAGATGCTATTGTCTATCTGATGCTGGTTAATCATATGATTCATGGGCTATATCCTAAGATTGTCACCATTGGTGAAGATGCATGTTCTATAACTCTTCAGTGAGTCACATTGAGCATCCTTTGACTTATAATCATTTATCTGTTCCAGAATTAAGATGTCCGCTTTAAGTCCCCTATCTCTTCTATAGCAACATTTGTTGCACTGGGTTGCATAAATGGATTGGGGTTTTAATACTTTTTTACGTGATCCATGAGGATGCTAAGTGTAGAAATGGTTTTGAAAAAGTATGCACACATGTACTTGTGTGTGCGTAAGCGTACTAAACATTTGTGTATTGTACATGTTTTTCTAACTCTCTACTGCTTCATCACTTCTCTTCATGCATCAATTGAATCAATATGCCATGAATAAGTAGATTACCCTGCTAGTAGTTAAGTGTTTTGATATTGTAGAATGAACTAAAGAATTGTTAAAAATGCTTGTTGTAAATTGAACTAATTTTTATTGTAGACCAAGAGTTATGGAAACATAGCAACTAAAGATGCCAACCAAAAACACTTGAAGGGAACAAACAAGAATATCTAGAAATCTTAAAATATCCTTGCTTTTCACATATTTCATCTTTTGTGCAAATAATTCACCTAAAGAGCTACTAGCACAATAAAAGGTAATTTATGTTTTACCCTTTAGAAATATTTGCATGGTAAGGAACATTTCATTGATAAATGTTTATATTGGAGTGATTTAGTTGCAGATTTTCATATATTATTTGCAAAAATAACATTCTTTAAGTTTTATTAATATTGAAGAGGAAAAGAAACAATAGTTGAAGGTATACTTCCACCATCTTAAATTGTCATCTGTCATAATAATCAATTCTTCCCTGTTTTTCTCTTTGACTGTGTTCTAAGATATATGCAGTAAGAAACTGTAGTATTTGCAATACTAGCTGTTCATAAGTCAATGCTTATATCTTCTCTAAATGCACATGCCGAAAGAAGTTAAAAGTTATTTGAGTTTGGTTTGTCAAAACACTTAGCTTAATGTTAAATCTTAATGTAAACATGGATCTTTTTATATGTATGTGAGCATGAATATTCGTCTTAATGGACCAAAGATTGGGTGTATAGTCTGGTGCAGTTGGTATTCTTAAAAGCTCCAAATAGAAAAGTTAAAAAGATAAATGTTGTCAAAGTTTTTATAATTAAGTGCAAAAGTCAACTTGCTTATGTAACAATTAATTGTATCATACCATTTATACACATAGGCGGCAGTAGTTACGGCCAAGGCTCTGGTAAACTGACCATGACTTCATGTTCTGGCTCTTCCGGGTGGTTAGAGTCCTACTAATTTACTACTCTGTACTATGACAACACGTGAAGAATCGATCACTTGGCAATACTCGATAAGCTTTCCATAGATCAAAGACATACAACCAAGGTATTCTAGCCGGTGTTCCTCCTTGGCGCCTTCTTGACTTAACGTCGAACTGGGGCCTGACTTTTATGGAGATATGTCTTTCAACTATAGTAACGTTAGTATTAGTATGATCTTGAGGCGGTATGACTTTTCTTTAGCTGAGGAAAAGGGATCAATGATCTGTTTAACAGATTAACAAGAGTTTCTGTTGCAGAGGATCCATAATAATATGGCAACTGCAGAGCATACTCAACTTGTATCACTGCAAACTTTTGAATAGATTGAAGAGAAAGATGAAGCTGAAAGATGTAACTATGAAAAAATGAAGATGGAATCACCAAAAGAGAAGAGAGGTTTTTAGCCAAACATATTTTTATAAAGGAAGGTTTTTACAAGAGATTGGGGTTTGATTTTTTCTCTGATTCTTAGATGATTACTTCCTAGAGAAGTATCATTCTATTTATACATGAAAAAGTAAAGGACTAGTAGCCTAATAAGACAAGACTAGGACAAAGTAACTTTACAAGTGGCTTAGGATAAGACTAAAGGACGGTGAGTCATAACTAAGGTACAATGACTCATAACTATGGTACAATAGTCCATTATTATGGTATAGTGACTCATCACTTAAGGTACAGTGACTAAGCACTATGACTCATACTAAAGTACAAAAATACATTATGACTTGACTAAGACATAAAGTTGATGAAGACTTGACATAAGGTTGTCTTGATGTGAAGGCATCATTATCAACTTCTGTGGAGTCTTCTGGAGAAAACTGAAATTAGCACGCGTAATTATACAATATTTGGACTGGAGAGGGAATCTTTTGTCTTGTAGCACCATCATTTGAGAGAACGTTGAGTGTGTTCTGGAGAGAGGTTGAGGTGTGAATTATCTGCGCCTAGGGTGAAATCATAGCCGAGGTTGACTAACCATTGGTCTGGATCAAAATCATCAAGTGGGTCTTGAGAATCTTGTTGCCATTCCATTTGTGGGAGAACTTCAGGAGGTTTCCAATAAGGATTCCATTCTACTGGGCCTGCATGGTCTAATTCAAATCTGGTAGTTTCAGAAAGAGGTTCTGTCCAAGTACCATCAAGGCGAGTTTCATAAATTTTTTTATCAATGTTGAGCTGGTAAGTGTACTCTGAAGGATAGTTTCCCCATGGAACTTCATCTTGGATCTCTGGTCAATTTTGCTTTGGAAACTTGTGATTCATTTCACAAATTTGTCGCTGGAATTCAGTGTATTCAACTGGGTGATCAAACTGAGAATCAAACAGTGAATATCTTTGGGAGCTGTAAATTACTGCATAGGGGAAATATTGAGGATCTTTTGTCAAACTGCTGCAAGATCTGTGAAAGATTAAAACAATATGAGGATCAGGAAGAACTTTTGTATATCTCTCATAGGTTTCAATCCATTGGATCCAAATAAGAATGGGTCTGAACCAGGTGAAGAAAAACTTGAGATGTTGTTGACTAGGGTCCAACTGGTGTTTGGAAGGGTTGATAGTTGACTGGTGAAAAAGGTGAAGAAGGGTTTTGAGCTTTGGAAGGGGGAATTCTATACCAATATAGTAAAGGTGACAAAGGTACCATATAAAACAAACTGTTTTATTTGGGAAACAAAGAGGTTCAGGGAATTTAAAGGGATGGATAAAGGGATAATCAGGGTGTATACCAAGAGATTGAAAAGAGGTGTCTCCAAACTTTCTGAGTGTTTTGGACTGATATTTGAGCAAAAGGTGTGAGGCTTTTTGGTCAAGGGTTTGAGTGGCAAGAAGTCTGGGTAACTCTGGAGAAAGATTTTCTACTGAAAGGTTAAAAAATTCATCAGGGAGATCAAATTCATCATCAAGGTGAGGTTTCGGAGAAGAGGGGAAAAGAGGGTTGGTTGAAGAAGAGGCTTGTGAAAAAGAAGGTGTTGGGTTCATCATGGAAATGATTGAAATAACCTGGAAAGTGTTTGAAGGAGGTTTCAAAGGAGGTCTTGTGAGCATGTCTGGGATGAGGTTGTCTTTTCCTTTTATATTCCTGGTGGTGAAGGAGTACTGTGAGAACCACTGTGATAGCCTGAGTAACTGTGCATTTAGCATTTTTTTTTTTTTAAATTGAGCATCTGATCAAAGGCTGACATATCTAATTCCATGAGAAAGTGAAATCCAATGAGGTGAAATTCAAATCTTTGGATACCATACTTTACTGCTAAAATCTCTTTTAGTGTAGAGTGATAATGGAGTTCCGAATCTTTGAATTTTCCGTTTTTGTAACCACAGATTTGTCTGGTTCCATCTTTTTCTTCTAAAAGGATTGCTGACCAGAACTGTTCACTAGCATCTGTCTACAGTATTCTTGTACCATCTGAAGGAATCTTTAAAGTGGGAGTGACTTTACTTTTATCTTCAAGGCTTGTACTGCTTTTGTTTGAATCTGAGACCACGTGGGAGGTTCTTTTTTGAGTATTTGTCTGAGTGGATATGTGAGCTGGGCAATATTTGGGAGAAATTCATTCATGTAGTTGACTATACCGAAAAATTACTGGATCTACTTCTTTGAGAGATTTACATCAGGAAAATCTGCAAGTGACTGAGCAATATGAGGTTGAGCAATGTACTGACCATCTTTGAGATGCATGCCTAAGAAATCAATTTCTGTAGCACCAATGAGCATCTTTTTCTCTGAAAGCATTATCCCATACTGTTGAACTATGCGTTGGAACTTATCCAATAACTGTGCATGAGATGTATCATCAGGAGAGAACAGTAAGATATCATCGATGTAAATCAAGGCATTATCAAGAATTGGAGCAAATATCTTGGTCATGGCTTTTTGGAACAGTGAAGGAGCAACTTTTAAACCAAAAGGCATTACGGTCCACTGGAAGTGGTGTTGAGGAATGCAAAACGCCGTTTTGTATCTGTCCTGTGGATGTATACCTAGTTGCCAAAATCCTACCTTGAGATTAAACTTTGAGAAGACTTTTACATTTGCTAGATTTACGAACAAAGTTTTTCTGTCTGAAAGAGGGAACTTATCATCTGCAAGAAAAATGTTAAGAGGCTTGTAGTTGATTACCAATCTGAGTTTTCCACGAACTTGTTCTGAATGTTTGTTGACATAAAACGCTTCACACGCCCATGGAGAAGAGGTTGGTTCAATTAATCCTTGAGCTTGGAGAAGGGAACATTCTTGGATTGCTTGCTTGAAATGATCTGGGTTCATGCCTGAATGACTAGCTTTTGTAGGATTGGCATGTTCGTCTTTCTTGAAGGGAAGGGAAATGAAAAATTCAGGGTTTTGCCAAAGTGGGTGATCACATTTCTGGAGAAAATCTGAGTGAGTTTCTGCACATGAAAAGTGAATGAACTTGTGTTTGAAATCTTGAAAAACATCTGGTTGAAGGGTAAGGGTAAAGAGGTTGGGAAGGTTTTTCCAAGGTCTGAAATAACTTTCAAACTTGATACCATTTCCACTAAGCTTTAAACCTGGTATACTGGTTATAATATCAAAACCAATAACAAGGTCTTTCTGGGGAAGTGGAGATCCTAAAATCTTTTGAGTTATTCGACATCCTGGAAGGATTTGAAGGGTAACAGGGTTGCTGACAAAGTCTGTAGAAAATACATTTTCATCAGCGATTTTGAAGAAGGTTTTCTGTTTTGTCCAAAAGTGTTTGGGTAAGACAAGAGGGTTTGCTATGGTTTGGGCTGCACCAGTATCAAAGAAAGCTGTGACTGTTATAGGAGGGGAATGTTTGTGAGTGAAAATCTGAACTGGAGCTAGAGGTAATTTTGGAGGTTGAATGGTTTGAATTTTTTGGAGTTCTTGAACTGACATATACTCATAACATTGATCATCTGTGAAATCATCTGAGTATTTTGAGTAATCTGAATCTGCATACTCATCAGCATCAAACTGCTTTATCATAAACAGTGATCTTTCATTCTGCTCATCATCAAGGGAAAAAATTGATTCAAGATCATCATCTGAGAGATTGATACCTGAGATATTGGCAATGTCTTGGATCATCTTGACTGACTTTTTGTCTGACTTTGGGCAGTTCTTTGAGAAATGTCCTGGTTTTCCACAAAGAAAACATTTTGAGCTTTTGATCTTTGGGTCTTTCTTCTTTCTTGCAAATTTGAATCTTTGAAATCTTCTGGGTTTATCAGCATATCTAAAGAATTTCTTGTGTCTGGGTCTGGAGATTTGTGGAGGTCTGGAAGGTCTGAATCTTCTGAAATGTTTCTTTTTCTTGTTGCTGCAAAAACATGTGGGATCTTTGGAG